CCGAAGGCAGTCGCTTAACCAACTGAGCCACCCAGCGCCCTCTTTTTAAATCTTTACAAGTGAGTAGAAAAACTTTTCTCTGCTATGAATTATTTGACTAGTTCCCCTAGAAACAATCAGCACCTAGCCATTCACAGAAAAGAGTGGAGAACAGATAGTTGAAATCTTTATTATTGAGTGTCGTTCTCTTTAGTAGGAGAATTACATTCCTGCTTATTTTGTCATGGATCATTATTAATATGTTTTACATTTCCTGGGCAAAAACTGACTGGCCCTAAGGATTTGCAGCACAAAAGTGAGGAGAAAGTTGAGGACTGAGAATTTACCATTGAAGTGCTCAAAAAAACAAGAAAATCGAGTGTTGGCTAAGTGCCTGTTAAGTGAAAACATCATCGTTACCACTTACCCAGCTAAATTTTTATTTTTCTAGAATGGTAACAGTGTCCCTGATTTAATGACTGCTTCCCGTAAGTCCTAGCTAAAAGGATGGGGCAGAGAGAGGAGGAAAGAAGAGTTTTATACCTGCACTAAAAAGCTCTGACTCTAAACTCTCTTCTTCCAGCAATGCATGGCTGTTTAGACGCAGTGAAGGTCCTTCTCCAGAGGTAAGAACAAAACAGCAAATGGGGGGAAGGATTCCCTAATTGTGACAGTTAATATCGATGCTATAGGAAAAGCTCAGAAAAAGTGCTCAGAAAGAAACTAACATACCCAAAGAGAGATGAACAAAGGACATAACTCAAAGAATATAAAACAAAAATCGCTAAGTAACATGAGAAAAAAAAAATCATGCATGCATCTGCTCATTTTGCAAGTATTCATATACTCAGTGCCTCAGCACTCACTTAGCACTATACCATGTGCACGGGCTGCAAGAGAAGCCAGCCAACAGGGGTCCTCCCCATGGAACTCACACACTGGCAGACAAGATTCACTGTTCACGTCCTGTGAGTCCAAGGAGTACAAGGAATCGCAGGATCCCTCCAGGAACATATGCCAGGAAGACCCACCTTGCCGGGGAGTGAGGAATCTTGGCCCCCAGGGTATTCAAGCTATCCGAAGGAGGCTAAAAGTGGGAGGTGGGCCACATTCCAGACAGAGGTAACAATCCCCGTGAATGCTCAGAGCTAAGAGAAAGCATGGTGCTTTAGAAAACTGAAAGTCCAGTGTGAGCTGGTGCCCCAGGAGTGACAGGGAGAAGAGTGCATGATGAGGAAGGCCAGACTTAGGGAGGACAGAGGACTATATGAGGACTTCAGATTTTATTCTAAGTGTATGCGATGCCATTGAAGGGTTTTAAGCAGAGTGACGCGTGGACAGTAATAAGAAATTTGCATTTTTCAGAGATCCTCTGGTAGGAAAATAGAGAATGGATTGGGGGGAAGCAGGAGTGGGGGCCGTGAATGTTGGGAGGTCGTTGCAGTTCAACAGGAGAGAAATAATGGTAGCTGGACTAAGACCCTGACTGTAGGGGTGAAGAGAAAGACATGGAGATACTTAAGAGGTGGGATCAATAGATCCAGGTGAATAATTTGATGAAGGGAGTGAGGGAGGAGACGTCAGGATGACAGGTTTCTCGCTGAGCAACTGGTGATGGTGCTGGTGCCATTTACTGGGACAGAGAGCCCTGGAGGAGGAGCAGGTTTGCCAGGAAGATGATAATTTCACTTTCGGACACATTGAGTTGCATGCATCTCTGAGGCGCCCAAGCAGAGATGTCGAGTGGCCAGCTACAGACACAGATCTGAAACCCATAGGAGAGGTGTGAGCTGAGAAACAAAGGTGGGCATCATCAACATAGAACTGATGACTGGATTCACGAGAGTGGAAGAGATTATCAGAGCAGATACTGAATAGTGAGAAGAGACCAGGACTTAATGCAGTGCTGTGAGGAAGCAAAGGTCCTCCTGTGGATGGAGGAGAGAAGAGGGGCCTCTGTGAGGTCATATCGAAGCTGTAATCTGAAGTGAAGGAGGGAGAACCAGTGTTCCAAGCAGAGGGGATCAGCAAATGCAGAGGCAGCAAAAAGCTGGGCAACTGGAGGAGAAGATAATGAGCAAGAAGAGGGTAGGACAGATAGGACCTTAACGAAGGTAGAAAAGGTGGGAAGGGGGGCCAAGAAGGTAGGTCGGATAGGACCCTGAAGGTAAGAACAGAAGAGGAGAGGAGAGGTAGGAATGGAAGAAGGTAGGTCAGGTAGGAGGCGGGACCAAGAAGAAAGGACAGATAGGATCATAGAGAAGGTAGGAACAGAAGAAGGTAGGTCCATTTGGAGTCGGGACTGAGAGGAGAACCAGGGAGACGGTAGGACAGGTAACTGTGAAGAAGGTAGGAATGGAAGGAGGTCACATTGGAGGCTGAATTAAGAAAAAGGACAGGTAGGAATAGAAAGGATAGGACAGCGGAGTAGGTGGGAAAAGAAAAAGGCAGGATTGAGATGAAGGTAGGACAGTTGGGAAAAGCAGGACTGGGAAGGAGGTGGGAGGAGGAGGAGGACCAGGAAGGACGTGGGTGGCCCCGAGGAGCCTGGGGAGATGAGTAGACGCCACATTATCCTGACCCCAGGGTCATGAGGGTTTAGATTTTCCTTTGTGGTTGGGAGGTAAAGGTTTCAAGCAGGAGTGGCCATACCCAGGGTGGTCTGGTGGCTGTGAGAATGGTTAGCAAGGCAGGAGCCACGGTGGAAGAAGTGGACCCAGAACTGAGATTTTGGTAACAGGCTGGTCATGAGGGGAAGACGATGCCTGTAAATGGGGTGAGGAAGTCCGAGGAGGGGCTGAGTTTGGGGGACAGGGACCGCGCTCCGGTCTCCGCAGCGTGTGTGTGTGTGTGTGCGCACGTGCGGCAGGGACCCCTGTCTGACCTGCCGCTTTGGGTTCGGGCGGCAGGTGCCAGTACAGAGCCGACTGCGCGGACAGGTGTGGCTGCACGCCCTTCATGGACGCGGTTCAGTGCGGCCACATCGATGTGGCCCAGCTGCTGCTCGAACAGCATGAGGTATAGAAACGGTTCTTCCCATGAGTCTCAGACCAGGGAGCACCTCTGATGTGGGCTCAGGGTCACGGTGGGCGAGCGGGAGGCAGACGTCCTTGTCTGGGGCCCCTGCGAGGCTCACGTGTGTGATGAGCAGGGAGCAGTTAGAGGAGGAGGAGGATCCAGTAAGTGGCTGGACCGCAGGAGTGAGCGCAGGCTGCTCACCAAGGGCGCCGGGGGCCAGAGCATGGGGTCTGGCCTGTGTTTGGCCAGAGAGGCCTTGGGGATCCACCAGGAGGTCCCTGCTCCTCACATGTGGCCTCCCCTCCCCCGCCCACCAGGCTTGCTGGGCGGCGCGGGACGCCCTGGGCGCACAGGCCATCCACAGGGCAGCCGTCACCGGGCAGGACGAGGCCCTCCGCTTCCTGGTGTCCAAGCTGGGTGCTGACGTGAACGCCAGGGCAGCACCCAGCCACCTGACGCCACTGCATTTCGCCGCTAAGGTTTGTCTCTCCGGGAAAGCCTTCCCTCCGTGTGATGTCCAGGCTTTCGTTCGCACCCGCCCTTGTTCCGTTTTCAGGAATAATGTCGTTTGCAGCCCTAAGAATCCCCCATGTAAAGTCCTGCTGCTCTGTCCTTACACTAGATTCCAGAAGGGAACATTTCTGCAGTGGAGGCTCGCTGCTTACACGCCCGGTCTCAACTGTTAGGCGTGTTTTGCGGGTTATCTTCAGCCTCACTGGCTACCTACCCCGACTGGCTTTTCCAGCAGCAGCAGGAATAATTATTTCCCTGTGAACGGCACTCCCCTATTCCCCAGGAAGGCAGTGGAGAGATGAGGGTGCCCCGAGCCTGGCGGAGGCCGCGGAGGGGATGGAAGGGATTTGCAGCCATGATTCCCTGTCTCCCTGGGTACTCGAGGCCTGGCCAGCTAGACAGGAGTCCTGTCAGGTGCTTGTAATCGGTGACACGTGCTGTGATGCATGCTGTGACAAACGTCCAGGACAGGTCGCGGACTCCCTGTTTATCTTCTCTCTGAAATTCCAATAAAGAGCATGTTTGCTGGGAGAGATTCTGGAAGCACATGTTCCGTGTGAATCAGGATGCATGCTCCCAACAGCAGTAGTCGGTAATTTGGCCTACAGAGTAGATCCTCTGTATTTTAATAACGAAATGTCACCAAAATCTGGATTTGACAGCTTACATTCCAACCTGAGAGCTGTGTGAGTCTCCCTCTAGATGTGAAAATTCCATTTTAGCAGCTGAGTTTTTTAGAAAAAGTACCTAACATGTATTAGTTTGTGTTTAAAGGCTTGTTTATTTCCTCGTCACGGGATAACAAGTGTATTTCAACCCTCAGGAAGGACACGTGAGCACAGTCCGGGTGCTCCTATCCTTGGGTGCTGACATCAATTCCAAAGATGAAAGAAACCGATCAGGTATGGCTTCGTGTCCCTCGCGCCTAGGGAATGACTAGTAATCGATGTAAACAATACACGGACTTTGATATTAAAAACACTGGTTTTAGACTATTCCTCTAGTAGTAGCTCAGCAACCCGTCTTTGAAACAACATATTTGCAAAGCTCTGGCAATGTCTCTGTTCCCACGGCAATGGCAGGGCCTGCCGCTGGTCCCTGCTGTTCTACTTCGCAGCACGGCGCTGTGTGCTCCTGGGAACACTTGCTAAATCCACCACGCTGCCGGCCGCCTCAGTTCAGAGTCCCCCTAGGCCGTCTCTCTTTGGAGTGCACTTGAAAACTAGAGTCACTATAATTTTTTTCTAAGATTTGTTTATTTATTTTAGGTGGGGGGGTGGATGCAGAGGGAGAAAGAGAATTGGAAGCAGATTCCCCGCTGAGCGGGGAGCCCAATGCGGGGCTCGATCCCAGGACCCTGGGATCATGACCTGAGCTGAAGGCAGATGCTTAACCAACTGAGCCACCCAGGTGCCCCGAGAGCTAATTCTTCAGACTCAGGTTAGAATAAGCTCTCCTGTGAACATTCTGTGCACCACGGCCACCTGGCAAGCCTCTCTCTGATGCTTAGAAGCTCCCTCCGAGGCTGCACAGGACCGTCACTAAGTCCATGGACACAAGGCTTTGTCTGCAGAACTCAGGATCCTAGGGCTCGCAGGACTGACACGGAGAATTCACAAAACTTTTAAAATGGTTTCTGTGCCATTTAAAGTCGCCTGTTCATGAACTTGCTTCGTGGCTTTAGACAAAAATCTCTTATATTCTCTAATTGGTTGATGTTTTTAAAACCATTTCCAACCCCGTCAGGTTAAAAGGGAAAATACTGTGATCCCATAGAGGCAAGGTCACAGAGAGGAATCGCGGAAATATAAAATCTGCGTAGTGGAAGGAGTTTTGTTTTCGGTTGTAGCTGCTCGCCAGATGGGCATCGCTGCGGCGTCCTGCTCCAAGTCCGTGTGGCTTCTGTCTCCACGCAGCCCTGCACCTGGCCTGCGCCGGCCAGCACGCGGCCTGTGTCGAGCTCCTCCTGCTGTCCGGGCTAAGCGACTCCCCGGATGTCTCGGGCGCCCTGGCTCAGCAGCTCGCTCGCAGCGCAGATGTCCTTCAGTGCTTTGACCGCCACCCCGAGTCCTGAGGGTGCTTCTGAGCAAGGACAGGCACGGTGACCACGTCCTGCCACTGCCGTCGTTGGGGTCCCCAGCCAGAGGGCCGTGAGGACGCCGCCTCCCGAGCCCTGTGACCTACACGTGGAGTCTTTCCAGGACCCAGATTCCACTTTTTCTGCCCTTCAAGTGGAATTAGGGGATGTTCATGAAGCCAGGGTCTGGAGCCCTTAGAGAAGCACGTGACCCACGTGAATGTAACCCAGAGTACGTGTTCACGTAAATATGTCAGATGTTTTATGAGGGATGGCAATGACGATGATGTTAACGGTACAAGAGCCATAAACATAACCGGCCTGCCACTTCCTTCCTCGCTTCTTCTTGGTCATTACGGTGGTTTTACTTTGGTTTTGTAGCCAGGAAGGAGATGCCTACACAGATATTTGAGAGAAAATAATGGAAATATTTGCACATTCTAAGCGCTGCTAGTTAAGCCATAACGTTTTAATCTTGAGGTTATTTTTACTTGATGGTTCTGTGTTGGCTTTCTTCAGATAATAAACACACCTAAAAATGCAGCTAAGATATTTTCCAAACTTTTCTACTGCCTCAGTCGAAGAATGAAGTTTGTTCTTAAAATGCACGCCCTATTTCCTGTCCCGAACCCCTGCCCACTGGAGCCTGTGAGTGTTGAAGACTCTTGACATTGTAACTCCAAAAATTCTGTAGCAGTTTAAATAGTTTGAAGGGAGGCTGCTTCCTCAGGCATTTGGATTCTTTTTCTTTTTCCTTTTAGGGGGAGGTGATGAAGATCATTTTCTCTGGGTCACAAAGAATAATTAGTCCAGGTCATTCTTAGGAAATCATATGCGTCTGTCACAAGCCAGACTTGATCCTCCTGCTGGTCGTGACCCAGTAAGGACATACTGCACGTCCATCCGGCCTGAGCATCGTGCTGGGCCGGGGAAGGAGCAAGACTTTCCAGTTCTTCATCATCCCAGATGGCACAGGCTGGTTCCTAGTCCAACAGCCAACACCTGCTGGTATCATCTGTCTCGTGACCTCTAAGTGGCACCCCGTGTGATCTGCGCTGGTTCGAGCTTCAGTTCCCGCTGCTTCAGAGATGCCCCCCATGTCCCTGCCCTTTGGGTCTGAAGATGGTCCTGTTACCTGCGGGGGGACAGAAGGGTGGGTGTGGCGCCGGCCGCCTTCCCTGTGCACACACGTGGTGCAGCTTCTGATCGCAGCGACTCCACGAGGGGTCCCTGCACGTCTCCAGCTGCACGTCTGCCCCACAAACCAGCGGCGGCTGGGGTGCATGAGGCCACGCTTTTGCTCCCCGTGCACTCCCGACTCCGTTCTGTGGTGTAGACCGTGGCTGCTGAAGCTTCTCGAGGACCAGGGACCACAGTGTGGACACCAGTGGTGTTAATTGTGGCAAAGGCGGCAGACAGTCCAGGAACGGTCTGCCTCTGGGGTCACCGCGCTAGGAGAGAGTCGTGCCCTCACTTCCTAATCATGGGTGCTTGAGTCACCTTCCAGGGAGGCCCCACCAGGCCACCTGATCTAAAACTGCATCCCCTTCTCCAGCATTTCAGGCCTCCTGCCCCTTGCTTGCTTTCTCCTTGTTAGCACTTACCACCCCCTGATACGCCACACACTGTGAGTCCTGTATGTCTCCCAGCTGGAGCATGAGCTCCGGGGTGGGACTTTGTCTCCCTTGTTCACTCGCTGTCTACACGACCCAGACGGTGCCTGACATGAAGCGGGGTTTAAATTATTATGTGGTCGATGAGTGAATGGTGATTCGTAGTTCTTTTTTTTTTTTTTTTTTTTTTAAGTTTTTTTTT